ACGACTATAACTGTCCACATGGGGCTGTGCTCCTGCTCAAGGCAGGAGCCCCTGTCCAGAGCCCCTCCGTGCCTTGCAGCAAGCAGGACGTTCTGGAGAAAACGTGCTTGCGAGCAGCTCTGACTAATGACAGTTGGGTGCGCGTTCTCTGCTCTCTCCCAGAGGTCCCGAGGGGGACTGAGCCCCAGGTTCCAACAGTGGGAACTTCCTTTTCAAAGCACCTTTTCCCTGCTGCCCTCCCTTCCCTGCCTGCCTCCCCACTGCCTTACTGGCATCTCCTGGGATCACCTCCCAAAGAAACAACTTACAGTTGAATTTTTGCCTCAGAATAAAGGATTTGCACTTGAATTCTTGTGTCACAGTCGACTTTCGGGGAACTCAAACTAAGGGATGCATGTAGACCTGTGCTTATGCCCAACCCCCAATCCCCACAGGCTGTTGTTATGCCCTTTTTACAAAGGAGGGGCTTAAGGATCAAGGGGGGGGGGATGTCTCCGAAGTTAATATAACAATAATGATATTTAAATTGACTGAGTACTTCTTTATATATATATAAAATTGATTTTTTTACAGAGAGGAAGGGAGAGAGATAGAGAGCCAGAAACATCGATGAGAGAGAAACATCGATCAGCTGCCTCCTGCACGCCCCCCACTGGGGATGCGCCCGCAACCAAGGTACATGCTCTTGACCGGAATCGAACCCGGGATCCTTCAGTCCGCAGGCCGACGCTCTATCCACTGAGCCGAGCCGGTCTGGGCTGACTGAGTACTTCTTGTGTGTCCTTCCCATTTTTAATTCTCACAGGTACTGTTATCCTGAGATGGATATTGGGTTCCACAGTGAGGATCAGAGAGGGCAAGTCATTTGCCAAAGTCACACAGCTGGAGAGTGGCAAAGCTGGGCTTTGATTCTGGGCCATCTGACCCCAATCTCAGGGCTTGCACCCCTCTTGGAAGCCCCCCTCCTTGGTAAGGGCTGAGGAAATGGGGGTCATTCACAGCTAGTAATGTCCATGTTGTTTGTACCAGAGGGACCTAAGACTCATTTATAGCTGGTTTCCATGTCTTCATTCTGTCATGAAATAAGAGAAATAATGGCAAACACATGCTGGGTGCTGACCATGAATCAAGGGAGGGTTGTTATAAGCACTTTATTTATTTATCTCCTCTCTCCACATATTGCATGAGCTGATGTAAAAAAAAAAAGTTGCAAGCGTAGCCCAGCTAGTGTGGCTCAGTGGTTGAGTGTCGACCTATGAATCAGGAGGTCACAGTTTGATTCCCGGTCAGGGCACATGCCTGAGTTTCAGGCTTGATCCCCAATAGAGTGCGTGCAGGCGGCAGCTGATCGATGTCTCTCATCATTGATATTTCTTTCTCTCCCTCTCCCTTCCTCTCTCTGAAATCAGTAAAAAACTTTTTTTTTTTAAGTTGCAAGTGTAAACATTTTAAAGGGAAATTCTTCCATTTCTACTCTCCAGTCCCAATCCAGCAGTTTGGGTTGATTTTTTTCCTTCGGTTTTTACACATTGCGTATATGAACATTTTCCCACATCTATGCAAACATTTATGCACAAATAACCACTTTTTAAAGAGAATTTTTTTTATAAGAGTTTATTTGAGCCAAACTGATGACATATGCCAGGGAGCAAGATCACACAACCACTTTTCTGAGGACTCCAAACATGTTGGGAAATATCTGTTCCAGTTAGCTGTTATTGCATAACGAGCTGCGGAGACGTTTAGTAGCTTCGATTGACAAACTTTACTTTGCTCACCAATTTACAATTTGGCTGGGCTCCGCTGGAATGGCTTTCTCTACTCCAGTGGTTCTCAACCTTCTGGCCCTTTAAATACAGTTCCTCATGTTGTGACTCAACCATAAAATTATTTTCGTTGCTACTTCATAACTGCAATGTTGCTACTGTTATGAATCGTCATGTAAATATCTGATATGCAGGATGGTCTTAGGCGACCCCTGTGAAAGGGTCGTTCGACCGCCGAAGGGGTCGCGACCCACAGGCTGAGAACCGCTGCTCTACTCTTTATAGTGTCAGTTGGAGTAGCTTGTCTGCAGCTGGAAGATCCTCTTCCACCATAACTCGCTCACATGGCTGGCAATCGGGTGCTGGCTGTTGGCTGGGGTCCTCAGTTCCTGCTAACGTAGGGCCTCTCTGTGGGGCGGCTTGGGCTTCCTCTTAACATGGCAGCTGTGTACAACAGGGTGTATCCCAAGGGGGCTGGAGGGGAGCTTCAAGTCTTCTCATGATCTGGACTCCAAGTCCCTGAAGTCACTGAGGACAGCTCGGGTTCAAGGAGAGAGGAAGTAGATTCACCTCTGTATCAGTCCAGGTTCTCCAGAGAAACAGAACTACTAGCAAAGATAACTACCAATCATCTATGTACCCATCTATTCATTATGCATCCATCATCTATCTATTATCTATCTCCATCGTCTGTTACTTACCTACAGCATCTATCAGTCATCTACACTAATAAAAGAGAAACATGGTAATTGGTGTACGACCGCTACCCTTCCCATTGGCTAATCA